GTCCAGGAACTGTGAAATGTCAGCTGAGTTTCTGAAGTTCAGTCCACATCAGCTTCTTCATTCCTGCTGCTCCCTTTCACTCAATCAAATGATGGACAATTGTACCTACCAAAAAGTGACCCACATTCCCTATAGAAATCATAACAGCCAACAAATGGGGACACCTACCTCTTTCAAATTGTAGCTTTTTGTATCTTTGCATAATTTCAGCCGCAACCATGCACTCGATCTAAGAGGGAAAAATATAAACATGAAGCAGAGCGAGCTGAGGGATGGAACGTAAGAATACAAAGCAACGTAAACCGGAACAGGACCCACACCCCCGAGGAGCTAAGCGGGGCACGCGGCCTCCATCACGCAGACCGGATGGTCCAGCACATGCCTCATTCTCCTGCAGGTGTCCCTGTTTAGGGCAGGCAGCATCTGGGCAGCTGATTGCCGTTTCTAATCCTTCTTTGATCAAGAGCTCGACGTATTGTTTCAGGCACTGAAAGAAAACAGAGAAGTGTCTGTAAACATCTTTCCTTCCTCGATGCTGAAGAAATAGGGATGCATTTAAAAAAATGACCAAGCACACGGTTCTGTCACCGTTTTATAGTTTCACTGTGTGTCAAAATGGGGGGTTAGAGTTTTTTATTCATTCAACAAATATTTATGGGGAAGCTATTCTATGCCAGGGACTGTATGTAGCTTCACAAAGCTAAGGCTCCGGGTTAGAGACCTGTGTGCAACCTCAGCAAACACAAAAGACGGCACCTAACGGCGAGAGACAGGCAGAGAAGAGGAAGAGAAGGAATATTTTGCAATGCATATGTGCATAGGAGATGTCACGCACTGCACTAAATTCTTTATTTTCTATTGTTTCATTAAATCCCTAAATCATTTTACTAGAAAGGTATTACTTTTCCACCCTCCAGGTGTGAACACTGAGTCACCAAAGAAGGAGCTTGCTGGCTCACTCGCATAAGGGCAGAGTCTAGATTTGAACCCAAGCTTGCTCAGCCAAGACACCCCTGCTCTGCCCACTGAGAACCCCTGTGCAGTCAGCCGTCCTCATTTGTGACACCTCAGTCACCTGGCACTTACTCACTGCCAGCTTTTCCTACTGGGCAGTACTGTGTGAAATCTGAAGGGAGCCGGAAAAGACCAAGCAGAAGATGAAAAGAACCGTTAACGTAAAAGATTCGGTGGCCTGATGAGCACCAACTGACTCTTGCTTCACAGAGTTTACTAGACTGGGAAACCTGTGATTCCCTGAAAAGCACATTAAAAACAACAATGAGAAGAAAAGATATGGTTTTTCCCATCAGGAGAGACCGAATTTTGAAGTGCTCACACCAGAACTCAAAGGACGCAGGAAAACAGGGCATGAGGGAAGAGAAATGACGTCACTGTAAAACCTCTCAACAGCATCCCAAACCGACTTTTAGTCATAGGCCTGTATCCTAACAGCAATGTGATTATAATACTACTAGAATATTATAATAACAATTCAGCTAAAAAGCCCATAAGCTTTTCCAAGGCCACTACCTCCTCCCCAAAATGCATAACACATTACAAGAATACATGGGTATTATTAATAGACGAACGTAAACTGAAGTACAACTGCAATTCCTACCACTTCTGTGTTTATAACAAATCTATTTCTCTGCGTCTGTCACCCTCATGCCCCTGATCTTCAATCTGGGGTGGTTTAATCTACTTTACAGTAGAGTTGTAAGAATTTTATGCCAGGGAAAGAGTCTAGATGAACAGTGTGGCTCCCACCTTCCTAATGCTGCAATGTGTTTTCATTGTTAAAAAAGGGTCACGACCCACAGGCTGAGAACCGCTGGTCTATAAGAATACATGTAAAATGGTATATGTCTGATATCTAAAGACAAATTCAATCTGAATGAGTCATTCTCCCTCTTCCAGCAAACCAGAATATTTCATTTATTAAAGACTAGAAAGCAATTTTTTTTATGAAAATGAAGATCAAAGCAATCCTCAAAGAGTCATTTCCCAAAGCTTTTCTCAAAAGCTGTAACTTCATGTATACGCTGCACTACGGGCGGCTCTAAGCCGAGGGCCTGCAACCCTGTCTGGGTGCTGATGGCTGTAGTGGCCCTGAACTTAGATCTCACACACACACCCCTACACGCTGCCAAGCCATTATGCAGAGAGCTCCCCGAGCAGTGAACACAGGTGAGCCCAGACTTGAAGTTCTGTGTGAGGCAAAAATGGCAGACTTTTCAGAGATAAATGCATTGAAACCAATGCAAAGACCTTCCCCTGAATGAGGGAGGGGCAGAACCAGGAAGAGGCAGGTAGTGGGAAAGATGGAAAAGTCACACCGGTCCTGGGCAGCTTCAGTGCACCTGTTACAGGGCAGGGCCCTGGTGGCTTAGTTGCCACAGTGGCCTGTTGACAGTTGGCAGGTAAGGGGGAAGGTCCTGATCACAGCTGGGTGCGACACGGCAGGGAGAAAGAGCAGCGGCTTTGGAGCCAGGCAGACTAAGCAACCCTCATCCCTCAGTCAGAGGTCATGGGCCAGGTACTTGAAGAGCGGGGACCACAGCTCCCACCACAAGAGAATAGGGATGGTCGTCTTGCTAGGCTTTGGTCACCGTAGGAAATAAAGTATATAAAAGCACCTGTCACAGTACCTGGCGTAAAGCACCAGCTAAGGAAATGGTGGCTGGGTTCTCTCTCGTGTTTCTATCTGTGTGATGTTTCTTCCACTTAGTTCTAGGTACTTAAAAAAGGGGGAGACCCAAAAGGTTAGCAATGAGATCATTATTTTACCAAGTCCTTCTGTACTGAGTCTCTGGAGGATATTCAAATGCCTTAAGCCAACAAGATGCCGGGAACTCACAACATCGCGCAGAACAGTACAGTAAGGATGAAACACTATTCTTCCCAAGAAGCCAGTGCAACAATTAAAACCTGCGTGAAACAGATGCCCTGGGGGAAGCCTCTAAACATCACTTTCCAAGAGCTTACCCATGGCAGCGAGGAGCCCGTCCCGTCAGCTGAAGCTGCCCAAGAGTGAAGGCTCTGTGTCATCAGAACACTCGACATTCTCCAGGCAGTTATGTTCTGAGAATACCAATTTGTCTGCTCCATGGAGATGAGGATCAAGGGCTTGACCTTACATCCATCAAAAGCAAGCCCAACCTTCTTCTAGCTAGAAAGTGGCCATGACTCACAAGCTATAGTTTTCAATCTAATAGCAAAATGAGGTCTTAAAATGAACACACAAAAACAGATAAGCTTCTGTAAGAATGTGCGGCCTAAAAGCAGATACTGGCACATGTTTCTACTATCTGGTTAAGTACAGATGCCGGTAATCAAATCCCTTCTGAGTACCAGGCTCCATGTTAATCCCTTCACCTGCATCAGTCGCTAAACACACCCAGCAGTAGGATGAGGTACTCCCATTTTACAGATGAGACAAACAAGATTCAGGGACACTCAGAGCCAGCCCAGAGTCGTCATTTCTAAGTAGAGACACCAGGGCTCAAACCCATGTGTGCCTGATTCCAGAGTTGGTAAGATTTTCTCTGTTTTTTATTTTTTATTTATTTTATTTTTTGAGATAGGGTCTCACTCTGTTGCCCTAGGCAGAGTGCTGTGGCATCATCATGTGTAGCTCACAGCAACCTCAAACTCCTGGGCTCAAGAAATCCTCCTGCCTCGGTCTCCTGAGTAGCTGGGACTACAGGTGCTCACCACAATGCCTGGTTAGGTTTTCTATTTTTAGTAGAGACGAGAGTCTTACTCTTGCTCAGGCTGGTCTCAAACTCCTGAGCTGAGGCCTTCCACCTGCCTTGGCCTCCCAGTGTGCAAGTATTACAGGCAGGAGGCACTGCACCAGGCCTCTGTTTATTTTTTTTAATTTTTTGCTTATCTTCTCAATTAAGAAATCCTTTGCATGAACAAGTTTGGAAAACCAACGTACAATGTGAGGAGTCAAGTGAGGAGGATACAACTGCACTGTATTGGGAACTATAAGTCACTCTGGGAGACACATACAGAGCAATCCACTTCAGTACAGTAACCACTCCACTGCCCTCATGCATCCCAGGGCATCATGTTGTAAACCTCAACTATACACAGTGAAATTTCTTTAAAAAGAACTCACTCTTACGCAATTATGTATTAAGTATATTCTGTTGCCTCATGAGGTTTTTCACAAAACAAAGAACTATATGTACCTTATGTGGGCAAAGTCTGGGTCAACCCAGAGCAGAACCTCCCTCCTCCACCTGCTCAAGACGCTGCAGATATAAAGAGGATGCCGGATGCCGGGACCCTCCGTGTGGA